CCAATGCGCCGGGCATTGGTATGAGTGGAGTTGAATTTTGGATTAATGCTGCCACATTATTAGTTTCACACAGTGAAATTCTCATTGTTCATCCTGAACGCACTGGGCATCGATGCAGGTCACCTCTTTTCAGGAAGGGTTAAACAACATTCGCCAAACCTTTAAAAGTTAATCATGGGTTCTGCAATCATATATATCTCTTTAGTGAATGCATTTATTAACTAGGCTTTCCGTAAAGCTGAAAGATCGAACTTGAAACAGGTGCAATCCAACAACAGCTGAATGAGAGACCAACCAATAGCAGCCAGAGGGGGAATTAACAGCTTTTGGATATTGTTATGTAAAGGAAAGGATATGAAATAGGTAATGCCAATCCATTATGTTTCGGAATCTGCCTGGTAAGACTGATGTAAGCCTACACAAAAATTGAAGTATAACGGTGATATTAAATCAAAGTACATAAAAAGTCATTATAATACAGAAAATATAACAAATACAGCTGTATCAGTGTTGTTGCGCCGTGTAGTCTGGTAGAAGTTTACCGACGTTTCACAGGTCCTTGCTGCCTCCATCATCAGGGCGATTTAATTACAAAAGAGCAGTCATCAGTGCAATCACTACAAGAATTTAAATTGAATCCGATCTGTACCTCAACACAGGCTACCATGTCTACACAAATTTCCCGTAAATTTATGAACCACCTAAATAACGAGGAACCGGGACATTAAATAGGCTATATCGGATATGGAAGTAACATTCAAGTTAATTTATTCATTAACGCTGAAGCTCCAACCTACAAGATAAAATCGGAACTACAGCAGAATAATTAAACAAATAAAATGCATCGTTAGCCAGCTCTAGCCAGCCAGGTGTTGTTAGCCAGGTAGTTAAGGCTTACACTGGCGACAAACGCATGGCTTGCTGAAGTCTGCTAACGGCTTTTTCTTGTCGGTAGTGCCGTGTTCTGGCGTATAGAGTAACTTTCCACTGAACCTCAAAGTAAGACAGAAGAGTTAACTTTACTTTTCAAAGTATTATCCTGGCTAACACGGTAACATGGTTAAAATGAAAGCCCCGCTCCAGAAAAGTATGGAAGCTTGCAGTGAATTAGGCGCTGTGAATTAAGTGACGTATGAAATCAAACTTTTCCTGATAACAGTAACTGAATTCTATCGCTTCAGTGTACGATACGGCGGTGGACTCTTGTGAACAGGGTAAGGAATGGAATCATATGATTCCATGAATATACCCCGAGCGACTATCAGCTTCTAATGAAAAACTCTACTCCATGGCGTTAAGGAATATTTAAAATGGACTCGCATATTTGCAGTAAAAACAATATAACTGTCAGCCCTTTTTCAAAATTATGACCTTTCGAAAAATAAATTTAACCTTCAATTAAAACGTAAACACACCATACTCAATATCAAAATAGAGTAGCGGTCAATTTCCCCATTGATCAACCCCTGAACTGTATTTTAAACAAGGTGGTACGAGCTGCTGTGCTTGTTTCAAATTACGCCACGGTCGGCACATAGACACAAACAGCGAGGATTCTGCTAAATATGGAGGACAGTGATGCGATGTGACACAGTAAATCCCAGTGGTAGCTGTGCCCCCACCCCCCTCTGAAATCCAGCCAACAAGAAACATGAGCATGGGAGTAAATTTAAATGTTGTAGCATAATACGGACAGCCAGTGTCTACAGTATTTTGGTGGTTTTATATCACTATAGTTGAGTTGGAATATTTGATTGTAAAACAAGTGGTTAATCGTCAAGCAATTCAAAGTTGTTTCTCCTGCAGTCTGGTTTATCGTATCATACTTTACAGACAGGCAATGGATAAAATGAAAATGGTAATTGTAGCGGAATGGTCAAGTTTAATGCTTTAAAATCGGTTTATATGAATTTTACAACGAATAAGTTTCTATTACCTTCGCAATTTCCGATTGCCCTTACGTTGGTTCGTATATCTGAAAAACTGGTTTTAAACTACTAATTTTTTGTTCAAAATATTATAGAATTCAGAAAAAAAATAATGTTTTGTAAAATATCAGCCAACCAGATTGTGTGTAAGGCTGATGGGAATTTTCAGAGTGTTGCGTTCAGCATATTTCCAATCGAAGGGGTTAAATTTTGTAAAGCTGATCAAAATAAAAATTTTAATATAAAATTAAAAATAAATTTTAATAACGGCACTTCAGTCTTGCATTTGAGTAAACCGTGCATTAAGACTAACCCTAAAATTTCATCTTTCAAATTTGCTTTGAATTTAAATCGAAGAAATCAGAAAATCTGATACAAATAAGAAACACTATTCAAAATCATTCTGAATTTGTAAAATAAGCTATTAAAACGTTTATGTAAAACAAAAAATTGTCTTATTTTCCTGGTAAGATAATAATTTAGTATCGAAACTTTACTTTAAATTAATTTAATTCTCTAATAATTACTGATATTATCTAATTATCTAGCAGGAACAAGTACTTTAATTGAAGTTAAGCCCAAAAATAAGACTAGTTATATTGGTCGGAAGAATATTGAAATTTCTTGCGAAATTCTTGCAAATCCACCCCAAGAGCATGCGATTGAGTTCGCAATTCACTGGGTCCTCTTAAAAAATAAGCACAAGTAAAACAAAAATAATTTTCTTGGTGATAATAAATCACAGTTCATAACGCGAAACATTTTCTTATATAATTCTAGCATAAAGTTTATAAAATAAGATTCTGATTCGCACACAATTTTCGATCAGAAACAACTTCTTAGGCTGATATTGCTTAAAGTTGTTAACATGAAGCAACAACCCCACTATAGACACACAGGTGTGCAAATATTTCGGCGTCTGTCTTACCTATCAACTACCGTACAGAAACACACTCACCATTTCCAGAGCAAACAGGCCTCTGAATACTTCGTCTATTCATCCTATTTTTATACAAATAACTTTTACAGCGCCCAAGCGTGGCCTGACTTACTATATACATAATGATCCTATAATCAAACATTTCCTTTGAAGGCCACTCAATATGTAGCATTCCTACCGGATAAAATTCGTTACTCATTCAGCATGAAATCTTATATGGCATTACACACACACACTGAATAAAATAAGCTATAATAACGAGCTGGACGTAAGCTGAATCCTCTCTCTTCTCTGGTCTGGAAACTAATCTTGGCGATGTAATAGGCCTATTCTGTGTTACCTAAACCGTACTGCAAAATATTTTAGCAATCACAAATTTATTTCGGCGCTGACGTAGATAATTAAAAATATTTTAACGTGTTCAGATTTCACGATGCCCTACTGAATGTAAGTTGTGAGTTTTTGAATAAATATTTTAGAATTTTAGTGAATCATTTAACAATACATTTTGTCTGAACGACGTTTTGTAATTTTAGAATACATACTGCAAAGAACACAAAGAAACTTACAGACTAACACAATTCTCAGTCATGGGTCTTTTTTATTATCCGTAAAGTAGATTTCAAACTGAATGACAATGAATCTCAAAGCGGTCACCCTAATTAACTTGTTGAAATGTGACCCAAATTAATTAACAGACATCTATGACCGTAATAAAGAGCTTCTTGTGATTCTTCTCTAAGTGTCTTTAGCGGTTGTGTTATATTAACACTTTCTTTATCTTGGACTTCTGCCATTGTCTGTCCAATTGTTTAATGTCTTAAGAAAGTCGCAACATTTCGTCTGTGGACCGCAAACTGGGAATAGCTCGGCCTAACGATAGAGTAGATTAATTTTCTCTGATTCTTAATATGGAGGAAGATCCTTCTTACGAAAAGTGACTTTTCCAAAAATTTAAACATACAAATGATAAAGTCCAAATCAAAGAAAGTAATAAGCTCCTTGCAACTTCATTAGTTACTACTTCTTATTTTTACCAGTGCACTACCTCATTAGAGACAAAGCCATTCTGCATGTTCATAAAATATTTTGCACAAATAACATGTACTATTATTGCTGCAGGGCGCTCATTACTCGATTATGTGCACAAAGCGAACAAACGCCTGCCGTCAGACAAATATCGTCCATATTATAAAGTGACTACTATTTTAAGCGGCTTAGCCAAAGATTGCAGTCTTCTGGGTTGTAGCGCCGTTGGTGGACATCTACCAGATTACACGGCGCAACAACCAATACGACAGCAATCTTAAGACTCTCTTCTGTGAAAACCTTAAATCTTACATGGGTTAGCCAAGCCTACAAAACGCACAGGCCGATGTTTGAAGGGTAATCACAGGCCTAAGCACAGTTTACGCCATTTTACAGTTATATAGTTTATATTCGGTTCTAAGTAACACATTAATTCCCATCAGTTCTTACAGTTTATTATTTGCGTTTCCACATGAGCCCGTTACATTTCCACGTACTGAGTCGTTGCTGTTACGAAATTTAATAACGCTCCTTTGACACCAACCATCAACGTAGCTAAAAATTACGATAAGCAACACACAGGAACTATAGGAAGTCACTGCAACCTGTAATCCATCGCAATCTGTCTGTCTATTATCTAATACTGAAATAACAACAATTCCAATAAAGTACGATAAGGAATAACCTGTGACCGGTTAGGAATACTGTACTTCTCTTTCCTGATCCATAGGCCTACAAAAAATCTACGGAATATCTCATTTCATGCACTGTGACATTTTCTATAGGCCTATAGGAATCAGACTGGTTTATGTGCAAAAGCGTTTACTTACCGAGATATTATAATAGGCCTAAAATTGATAACCACTTTTGTTACAAAATCAGTATAACACTGAGTGTAAACGTGTTGGCCGGCTGGTAGTATTTCTATGAATTAAGTGTTTTTTATTAATATTAAAGTATTCAATTGTTTTTGTGTTTATATAAATATAAACACAAGAGTACCTTAACTATCGGTACTTAAGCATAGGCTATAGGCATATTAATTTTATATATGCTTAAGGCAAATATAGGTAATAAATTATTGTATCGTTCTTCAGACTTACTCGTAAGAAGACTCCATTTGTTATCCTCTTCAATCTTCAAGATGTATTTATTTCCCAACAGTAACTTGATGAGTTCATTTCAGAATCGTAATCAAATGTTAATATATAAACTTTGACCACTATAAATTATATTAAATCTTTTTACCACAGTTGAACAATGTTCCATCACATGTACGCCTACTTCTTCAATACACGTCTGTAGAATTCACTTGCTTCTAGTAACCAAATATGGAAGGCAAAGACATCTAAAATGTTGACTAGTATGAACATTTTACTTTCAGCATGTAAGTTTATTTTCTGAACTCTGTATCCACGGTCTCAGGTATAAAGAACTTGTCTGAAAAAGGACTAAATGAAATCCAGTAAGGAAAATGTTAACAGAGCAGTAAACATGATGTACTATCTCTAGAAATACGTTAATGTTCAAGTATCCAGACTGCATGTTTCGTCAAGTTCACAGTAACATTTTTATTAAAGTAAAAACTTTTTGCCCACAAAAATGTTCAAGTTAGCGATAAACTATAGTATGATATTCCTCAGGAAGTATGATTGGTCCTGAAACTCGTACGAAAACAAGAAATAGATGATTCGCCCGTACACACACCGAACTACGAAAATTAGTGGAGCTGAAAGAAGTGCAGTTGTGGCGCTGTTCCCGTGGTCTGCCCTGCAATGTCTACGGTCAGCCATTAATGACAGCAGCTAACACTCAAACAACAGTTTCCATGGACTTTAAAACCAAATAACCTTCCAACTAGAACAAGGCACTTGTAAACTTTCGTTTAAGAGCACGAACGAAAAGGGACGGGGAGTTTTGTGTTAACCACACCCCTTTAAATGGTGGAGAGTTCCCCTCTAGTAAAAGAAGAAAAAATGGTTTCCCCACTATAACTGGCATGGCGGGGCTTGTGTTCGGAACGGGAAACCACGGTTTTATCGGCAAGTAGGAGCTCAGTAAGCCGCCAACTGTGGGGCAGAGAGGCGGGCCACAGGCCGGACTTCCAGGACACAGCGGGCGGAGTCAAAGTGTGTGATAATCAGAGAACTTCCCTTTTCCTCTGCACCGACCAAACAAAGGTCACGAATTTGTTGCTTTGCACCACTTTTCCTTGTTATTTTTTTATATAAAATTCGGCTTGTAAAGTAGAGGGGAGACATTATTAATAACAGAACGATGATGAATAATGAATGTTGACTCTCAGAAATATATATATAACCCGCAAAGTGGAGTTATCAATAAAACTATCGGCACAGATTACTTTAAAATAAGTATCTAATCTTTTGTGGGGTCAGAAAATCATTTAAAATTCAGACTATTTAGCTAAATGGTCGAAATGCTACAGACAATACAATTTACTGCCTGGGATAGTACAGTTCTACTGGTAATACGTAAGTGACAATATAACATTACTAATTAATTAACTAAAGTAACCAACATTTTCAACATTGCATATCGACCTCTCCTAATAACGACATTGCACCAACCAAAAGAAAGTGCTTAGTTCCCAGGGGGGCAGGTAATCTGGAATAGGCCAATGTCACACAGCAGTTAGAATAAATGAATGGAAATGGAGAATGACTAGACAGGAAGAAGAAATATCATTCGTTTCTCCTCTCCCCACGTGGATTACAGTAGGGGTTCTCTTCAAACTCTTAACTAGGCTGGCCGAACAAGGTAGGAATCTCAGCAGGAGCACAGATTTTTAATTTTAATTTACCATCACATCCACAATGAGTGAATCTACCCAGCAGTGGATACAGAAGGCTCCAAACCCGGAGGTAAAGCGACCTGACAGTGAAGATGACCCATCATTCACTTCCATTTAAGAATATGCGGAGTTATACCTCCATCTCACACAAAACACAGTGCTTCTTAAACACAAAGATACATTTTCATGGCGTGGTGTGAACTTAACATTTTAAAGATCGATGGTAACTGTATGTCCTACCTGCTTCAGCAACCACTATTTCTTCTTTTATATTTAAGGGTTTCGTATGACTCTTGCTGGTATGTGAGATTATTCCCTTAACAGCGCTAACCAGTTGATCTTTGTAATTATAAAATGTTGTGTTTTGTTTGCGGTTCGAAATGAATTCTTAACTAAACCTATTGTTTAGATGAGTTTTGGCTTAGAAGGGTTAAACGCAGAAATGTCTTCGTGACGTGGTATAGCCTCGTTACTTAAGTACAACAATAACGTACTTTACGAGGAACCTTACAACCATAGAATCGCATTGTATAATGGAATAGAATAACGAAAGTGCTCCTACCATAATTGTGATCCATACAGAGCAATGCCCCATTCCACTCCTAATGCCCTCACTAATGGATTATAACAAAAGAGTGGGATATTAATAATAACGAATAACCAATAAACAGCAATTCGCTTACGTCTAAGGCGAAGACGATGTAAGTAAACAGAGCGAACATGATTCAGGAGGCAAGTTATCTGTTTCAACAGGAAATTCTGCGCACAACAAATTGTATATTATATAGTGCATCCACACAAAAAATTCAGTAGGAATGCATCAGCAAACAACTTACATTAGAGAGCCCAGTGCAAAAAGGACGTCGTTCTACTTTAACAAACATCGGAACATGATAAAAAAACATATATAGAAAATAAAATTCTTGCTTAAAACCACAATACGACTTGCATCCATTTTTATTCTATTATAATGACTTTAACCACAAAATTCTTCTGACTTTTAGGTATGAATCAGTGGAATAAATTTTGGCGAGAATTACGACCACACCGGTTTTCTACCGGAACCTTCAATTTGAAGTCAAATTCAATGAACTAATTTTGTTTTGCAGCTGTATTGTCGTATTTTTATTTTGTCTTGTATTACGGACTTCCATATTTCCTACAATATATATTCATAGTGTAGAAAAAAATTCCGTCCATTAAGATGACAAATAATATCAGAGCAATTTATAAGCCAGATGCTTTAAAACACTAGCTAGAAACATGCTTTACTTGCGTTTTGGAGCTGCTGGAAAGAACGTATTTATTTAACGACACTTTTTCATTAGCTTAGACTATGTAGCGTCGAATGAGAGAACGATATAAATTATGAATTGGAAAGAATAAAGGCGAAGACAGAAACATTTAATATGCCTCACAACGGAGAAAATAAATGATAATGTTGTCTATTGTGCTAACACTGTTAGAACTAATAACACGTTGAAATTAATTCAACTACGCTAAACTGCTGAGATACCTGCACTCTATTACAGGGAAAAGGAAACTTGCCAATGTCCCAAAACGGAACGCCGATTTGCTGACCAGTTAAAATAAAATACGAATTTACATATTTTAATGTATTGTTACTATTAAATTGCCCGTAAAAAATGACGGGAAAAGCTAAAGTAGTAAACAGACAGTTAAAAAAATACTGTACGTAACGCAATGCCCAAAATTCCTTCACAGAATTACATAACAACGGTTAAAACCACACATTCATAAATATTATTCTATAAGGCCCAGAATTCGTTGACAGTAAATAATCACCAACCAACTAAACATCCAACCTAAGCAGCAAAACTTCCTCATTTTTAGACAGGTACACACAATTTCAGATTCTGCATGTTGGCATTTGGGTTCTAAATACACATCCTCTGACAATAATATAAAATAATTTTAACTGCATTTCGAATATTACGAAAATGGATTTATTGGTTTAAACTTAAACCTAAGTGAAACACACCAGTCTGGAACTGATCCACATGATGACATAAGACTCTTCTTTCTGTTAAAATAATTCGATTAATATGTGGCTAATTGTCTGTCTGAGCACATGCACTACACTGGTCTTTTAACTGAAAAATCTGAATCATGTAGGTACCATTATCCAATTTAAAACCATAATTTCAAAGCAAACCGTCGAGACAAAGAATATATTAAAGTTTTCACCATAAACAATTATACTTGAATGTTATGATTTATTCTTTCTGTCTGTACGCTGCTGTAATAATTCTAAGTTTTATGCTGTGAATGGTGAACACATTTTTATACTAATATTTGGTAACAGCGTGAA